ATGGGGTTTTTTTCAATCCAGAAACTTGATCCTGTGGTGTGTTTCCCACATAGACTTTACTTAGGCTGGCAACCCATTTTAGCATTTTGCTAAGATGTTTTGGTATTATGTTAGATGATGCGGACACCACGGACCAGGTCATGCATTCGGTACCACGTTGGTTTCAATCATTTTCGATAGGCTACGTCATAAATAACAAGCCTCCTCCTCACCAGCTGTTGAGTAAACAAATTGCGGGTGAAAAATCCAAAACGTGACTTGTGCCTTTTGGGTGAAAAAAATCCTCCTGGGAAAAGAAACAAGAGGCGGGGCAAGTCAGAGTGTGAGATGCAGAGAGTGAGTGGTGTTGCTGTGTGCATGTCTCTAAGGAGGAAAGAGGAGCACTAGAGAGAAGCTTCAAAAGTCCAAAAAATAGTATTCGGGACAGCCCTAGGTTACCTTAAAGTCATCTGCAGCTTGTGTGTTGGTAAAAAATAACATCCATAAACAGATGTTACTGACTGGTTAGGGAAGGACTAACCAAAGAAACCCCTTCCTACAGGAGAAATCATCTAACATGGAACACAATGTCAGGCTGAATAATGAAGTGAAACAAGCTAGCCACCTCCCGTTTCAACTTGACAATCCCCCTGTGCACAAAGCCAAGTCCATGAGGAAATGATTTTCCCAACACAATCTTGTTGCTGAATGGGAGAAAATCCCTGCAGCCAATATGTTGTGGAAAACCTTCACAAACGAGCGGAGGCTGTAGCAGCATATTAATGCCCATGAATTTGGAATAACATCTTCAACAATGACATATGGGCGACTGGACTGGTTCATTGTGTCTAAGAAAATCCAGAGGTAGTTTTTTTTCTTTGACATTCTTCTGAAATCTAATGTAAGAGTCCCAGTGAAAGCTAAAATTTTTGCCTCACATGAAAGCACTACCCTTGTTTTTATGCACAATGGGCTTATTTTTCTTAAATATTAATATATTCCTCTATTCTACCAGTTAATCATCTCAGAAGTACATGCCTATTTTTTCTGGGAGAAGCAATTAATCAAATCCTATTATATTCTGTCACACTTCAATATCGCCGGCTCCATCACTCTTATGTTTAAAAAAACGTGGACCGCCTCCCTCCTCTGCTGCCTCACAGAGCAGCTTGAGCAATCAGATGCTATTACAGCCATTTCTGCATTTATATAACATACCTGTTGAAACTGACAACAGAAGGGGCGACACCGCTGTTGCTGCTGTCTACAAATCTGGCAGTGTGAGTAACATGGCCTCACACTTGTTGCATCTCAAGTTTGTTGTTCTTATGGTTCGGGGATCTATTGGTAAAAATAGACTATATAATTTGTAGGTATGTGTATAATCACCTGAAAGTAAGAATCGTTGTGTTTTTGTTACCTTAGAATGAGATGTTTTTATCAAGTGCAAACCTATGTCACCCATTGGAGTACTGTTTTAAACCCCCAAGTTTAGCATGTCTGTTTTTCGGAGCCAGCCACGGTGACATACTGCGAGGAAACAATGGAGACACCAATATATGTTTGTAAAAAGATTTTAAGCTAGAATTAGGAAACGAGTTTGATCTGAGTTTAGTGCGTTGAGCTGGACAGACTCACTGAGAATGACCTGTCAATCAAAAGGTAAAAGCATACCCTGCTTTATCATCTATTTTACCTTAAATGGGACCATCATTTACTAAATGAACATCATAATGTATGGAAGAAGACTGAAACTAGTGACTGGGACCCTACACTCATTAGGAAACTGTTTACTGAGCCTGAAAAGTCGTCTCATTTCTTCATAAGACTCAATACTATTGGCGTTTTTTTTCAGCCAATGGGGCTGCCCTCTGCTGGCCATTACATAGAATGCATGTTTAAGACCCTGTTGGCTTCACTTCACATACCCAGAAAGCTCTAGATAGTCTGGTAAGTTTCACAGCCACCATAGTTTCTCCTACAAGCTTTGAACGCGAGTGGTATTCAGTTGGTTGCAATCAAATACTTTTGCAATACTCTTGAATTTGTTTTGTTACTTTATTGTTTGGATAGAAGCCGAGAGCGCAAGTAATCACTATGTCGCCAAGCTTTCAGGACCAACTATATTGCGACTGTATTGTTTTCAGCTGACTGGAGCATAAAAAAACTATATTCTTTCTTATAATAACTCAATAATGTATAGTGTGTAGTATGTATTATTTTCCAACTATAAGATGATGTTAAACTTATGAATAAATTATTTCTGTGCAGAAGTTGGCCCGTGCAGAACGGCTTCCAGTCAAGTAAACAAACTAACGTAAAGTGTAACTTACCGGTAGGCTACAGCTACAGCCAGTGGCTACGGATTGCCATTCGTGGCATTAGTTTGAAGTCAAGACGAACACATTATTAATTAATTCGTTATCACGAGAAAACAATCTTTGTTATATTGAGATAACGAAATAAATTCATTTGTTATGACGGGAAAACAATCTTTGTTGTATCGAGATAACGAGATAATAAGTCGTTATCACAAGATAACAGTGCATAAAAAAAAGAAAAATCCATGGCCGTTCTCGGCTTCCGTATGATTGACATATTTACCAACAATATTTCAAACTGTTGAAATGAAATGAAATATTAAATATATAAAACTATATAAATAATATATATATAAAACATGCATGCAAGCATACTGTATGTTATTGTGATAACAGGAGCTCTGACAAAAGGTTTGATGGACTGAGTTATGGGAACAATCTTAATAATTCTTGAATAATTAATTATGAGTAGGTGACACGGCGAAAGCATTCATTCCACTGAGATCATTAAAGTTCTTACATAAATGAATCTGGAAGACTGGAGCGCTCAATTTGAAGAATGGGAGCAATATAGAATGAGAGAGCAGAGCAAATGATTGAATGAAATGGACAGAGAGTGAGAGAGCGAGAGATGAACGAGTAGAAACAGAGAAAGTGAGATTGCATGAAGATGAACTGCGGACAACGTAATTTAATAATTCATGCATTAATAAAGCATGTCCAATGTAAACGCTCTTGCCAAACCTCATCGAAGCACCACTTCGACAAGAAGTACAAACTGCCTTTCAGTGCAGGAGGCTCATGGGAAGTCACACATTTCCTCTGGAGCTGTACGACAAGTTATGAATCACAATAATACAAATTCTGTCCTGCAACATATGTTGTGTTTAATTGCTCATTAAAGCTAGGGAGAGATTTTGGATTTATACGCATCCACACATACAGATTGCAATTATCCCTCTGACAACATTTCTCAGAGGCAGAAGTAATTGTCATTGGTCAACATCAGGGGGCCCCAAACTTTTTTCCCTCAGAGGGCCAAAACTGAAACTTATTCTATTATTGTTAAGATCCAAAATACTTAGATCCCTAATTAAGTGACTTCCTGTGCAAAGTGTCCCACTGCCTGATTATTATATATTTGTGTAGCCAAAAATTGGATGTCTGCTAAAAACCACTGCTAAAGATGAGAATATTGCAAAGGGCACAGAGGCAGAGAGAGGCAGTAAAGACGCATGGGATGAACAAAGAAGAAGAAAAGATAATTTGAAGAGAACAATGGCGGGAGATGAAGAAAAAGAAGATGAAGCGAATATCACAGAAAGGCAGCCGGCGTGTTAAATTCTCCCTGAGGAAAGCTCTTCAAAGTGAGCTGATTTACTCCGAAAACCTTTCCGAGGCAAATGTGAGAATGAACACTGTGAAAAAAAGAGAGCTGTGCATAAAATTTTAATCATGTTTTCTTTGAATCAACATGACGTGTCAGTTAAATTGTAGGTGATGAGTCTGTGGTTGAGTAAAACATAGTGTGAATATGACTCGACGTGTAACAAAACTGTTTGGCACAGCTCACATCTGCAACATGATCATCCTGCTGGCTTTTTTTTTTATTGTGAATAAGTATTTTGTTAGCATTTAACAACCACACCTCCCATGAGGCTATAAGGGACCCTATGTATGTCTCATGGGAAATGTAGTTGTATCAGGCAACTGGCAGCACTGCAGCTCTGTATTCACATTAGAACATGGATTCCATTCCCTGCATTTATGTACATTTACAGGATATTTTTATTTTACTTTTATTTTATTATTAACATAGAAACATTTTTAATGAAATTTAATGAAAATTTGAAAGCTGATTGTACGTTTGATTATAGTGATAGTCAGAAAAAGTGCATATCATTTGTACTACTGCATTATTTCAAATCACATTTTCTTTCAGAGACACAGGATACTATAATATTATATGATGTTAATGGCCTTTACTAACAGGAATACTGTCCTTTCCTAAGTCCCACCCATTTTGCTCTGTACTCTAATAACAGTTGAGCTAGCCTTATCGTTTATCTTCCTCCTTGACTGTACTTAGATATGTGCTAGGCTCGTCTACGTTATAAAAGACAACCACATTTTGAAGAGCAAAACATTGGCTAACTAGCTATATATGATTGATGTACAACACTACTGTAGAACTGACCCTTTTATTGTCCTGCCCCACTAGGTAGATAGCTGGATAGCTAGAATTTTATACAGTAGCGTTGTTTCAGGAAAATGTTATAATTACACAGTTCACCTGTAAACTACAATATCAATAATAAATAATAGCATGTTAGCATTGCCATTGTGAGGATGTTAGCATTTAGCCTAAAGCACCAATGTAAAACCGAACGTGTTGCTAGCATGACTGTAGACTCTCTCTGTAGTTTCTCTCAGTTGAATTTTGGCAATTGGACAGTAAGAAGACTGCAAGAAGATTTTAGTTGATTTGAACTGCAGAAACTGGCGTGATGGATGCTTGCTCACCATATTTCTAAAACATGCTTGCTTATCTGTTCATGTTTCCCTTCCCTGTGCCTTGTCCCTGTTGCCTTCCTGTCCTTACTCAATTCAGACAGCAACTTCGTCTTGGGGAACGCCCAGGTCCAGTCCCTCTATCCCATAGTCTACTGCTCTGATGGCTTCTGTGAGCTGACCGGCTTCGCCCGTGGCGAGCTGATGCAGAAGAGTTGCATGTGTCACTTCCTGTACGGCAGCGAGACCAGCGACCGCCTCACCTCGCAGATGCAGAAAGCTCTGGATGAACGTCGGGAGTTCAAGACTGAGATTATTCTGTACAAGAAGAGTGGTAAGAGCGCATGGCTTGGAGGATATTGTCAGTAATAATAAAAGTGTCAGACAGAAATATGTTATAGTCAAACCTACTTTCTACTTGTCGCTAACTTTCACACCCTTTCCTCTTTCCAAGCACCAAGTGTCGAAAAAGGGCCATAGCGACCTAACATTAGCTAAGCCTGTGGTTCACAACCTGAGGGTTGGGACCACCACTATGGGTCGCCAAAGCTTCAAGGCCTTCTTGATTTTAGGGTGCGCTAGAAAACTTTAAAAATATAAACAGTAGGCCTATATTTTCTTCATAGTAATGAACACACAATACAATACATTTCTTTGAATAAAACTAATGAAAGTAAATTGTTTAATAGAAAAAAATGGCCAAGGGGACAAGAAAACACTGAATTTATTGTTTTATTTAATGTTATTTTATTTTTTTAAAAACATAATACAGACAGTTTGCTAAATGAGGTGTCAACTTTTTGGAAAACCACTGAGCTAAACTGTGAAAATGATGCTTACGTTGGTGCTACGCAGAATGACTGGCTAACTAATGGTTATCTAAATTAATTAATTATAATGAATTTTCAAAAACACCCAAACAACTGTATTTATGATAGTAGTTAGGTAAATATGGCTCTTCTATACTCGGTGCTTAGAGTTAGCGTAGAAAGGATGTGAGATATAATGAGACTATTTATAGACACTGAGGTGATTGTCAAAATGATCAGAAATGCTAACAAACACTATACAGTATACAAAAAACTGTGCAAGAAGAGAATTTCTCTGGCTGGAATATTCAAATCTGTATTCTTTGGACAGGTGCCAAGTTCTGGTGTCTGCTGGACATCGTGCCCATAAAGAACGAGAAGAGCGAGGTGGTTCTGTTCCTGGTCTCACATAAGGACATCACAGAAAATAAGGATCTGGACCATGGCAATGAATCTGACACTGGTGAGAGAAGGCATGAAAAAGAAAGAGAAAGTGAAGCATTGTCCAATACCACTATAATTCACATGAAATGATCCAACAGAGTCTTGGCAGCTGGGGCACTAATCAGCAGACTTGAACGGTGATATTACAGAGGTGGTTTGGGTCACTCAGTAAATAACCTATTCTTTTTTTTTTTTAGCAAAGCAGTGCATCCCTTGTCCAAATTAATGATAAATTATTAATAGATTACAATGCAGATATAATAATGTGCCAAAGCAGTGCATATAAAGTTTGGATCATCCATTTAAACTAACATGTCATAAGACAAAGAATATACAACATCTTGACTGAATAATAATACTACAATTACTATTACTACCACTATACTGTTCCCTACTACATTACCAATGTACTTGCTGTGGTCTTCCTTTAAAAATGACCAATCACCACCTGATTTCCTCGGTAATACTGAAGTTTTATGAAAAGGAATTAAATCTGGTGACATTTTCAAGGACAAAGCAAGAAAATACAAGCTTCATCACATTCAACACATTATACAACAGTAAATGGTGAAACACCTGCTATCACTGACTGGGAGTGTAGTCATAAAGGCAACTCCTAGATATTCAGGGTTTTTTTTTGCTATGCTTTTCTGGTAAGGTCAAACAAATCTATGAGCTAAACGCCTGTCTAATGGACACATAAATTATGGAAGGGTACATCATGACATGCTTGTATTGAAATCAGTGTTGATTTGAGGGTTTCAGCGGTGAATGTCTGCCTTCAGCAGAACATTTTGCCAATGGATTTTAAATAATCTGTTGGGTTGAGGGATTCTAAGACATTATGAATTCCACAGCTCATAACACATTCAGTGTGCTAACATGACTCACAGGAGCAGTCTATGAAAGTAAATAAACAGTATGGTTCAGTATGCCTTGATAACCTCATAGGCTGTGTTATAAAAATCTAAATCAGATGTGTATCAATATTAAAAGTGAAAATATAATCAAAACCACTAAAGTGATTGTAGAGCTTAATGTGTAGTAGTATTAAAGGACCAATGTGTAGGATTTAGTGGAATCTAGTGGTGAAAGTTGCAACCAACTGAAATCCCTTGACTCATCCAAGTGTGTAGGAGAAACTATGGTGGCCATGAGACTTGTGAAAATGTTAAAGGCCCTATCTAGAGCCAGTGTTTGGTTTGTCCATTCTGGGCTACTGTAGAAGCATGGCGAACTCCATAGAAGAATTACCTGCAATTATGCTGCAACGATTTCAATAAAATGAACAGATTTTGCCTTGAAATTTTCTCATTATAAATGTTTTGCGTAACCCCCAGACCAGCAGTTCTACCAACAGACCACTTGTGAAAATGTTTTTTGCTGTTCAATGCAACTTTCTCACTTGCGTTCAGAATTCCTAAAGTATGAACCCTGTTGTGTGGACTGTAACTTTAAGCAGTTAAACTAATGTTAAAAAATGGTTGTCCTCTTCAATCCTTTATAGATCCAAGTTTCTTAACCACAGATTCATACAATGGCACCTGTGTGCATGTCCTTTTTGTGTCCTTGTTCTCAGATGAGGAAACTGGGCTCGAGATCCGCCCGATCAGCCGCCCTCCAGGCTTCAACATGGAGCGCCGCCGCAGTCGGGCCGTCCTTTACCAGCTGTCTGGACACCTACAGAAACAGGACAAAACCAAGAGCAAGCTGAAGATCAACAATGTGAGACATTTTGTCTTCAGTACCTTTTACTAAAAGTTATATTTTTGGACTAAAAGTTTGCACTCGTGCCGCCATCAGGCCAAAATATACACCTGCACAGAGAAGAAAAGATCTCACAATCCAATCAGCAGCACATTCATGCTCCCCATATGATGAACCACTTGATTGTGATGACCCCATGGCTTTTTCTCTAACACGATCCTCAACCACGTTCTAAGAATAGCAAAAGTATTACAGTAGTCGGCATGAGCGAGCACACCATTATTTACCATTATTTATCCATACTCAGAATGGGCGTGGCTTCAACCAAACACGGTGGTCCTTAAACCGAAAGTGGGCGGGAATAACCAGGAGTTATTCATTTAAGCCTGAAATTAATATGGGTTGATATTTACTATTTCCAAGTTTTTTAGAATACTTGCTCAACCCTATACAGCAGTATATTGTTTGTTCTGTCCAACACACTAGCAGTACTGGGATATAATGAACATTCAGCTAGCATCAAGTAACTAGCAAGACTTTAGATTCACTTTCGAAGGAGAGGATTATAAGGTATCAGCATATTAATCTTACAGACTTGCAGTTGCTGCTAAAGGGGCAATTTGCTTGTCCAGTACTGCTTTCACTGGCTCTGTTTGCAACTAGATTTGCATTTATTTCTAAGTTAATAAGATGAAAAGCAACTGGGATAAGACAAAACGTGCAAAAACTGTCCTTGCAGTGTGATCTTAATGACTCAGGACCTCGGAGGGAAGACATTTGCATCAGAGCTCTCGTTAGTCATTGGAATTCATTGCAAGGTCGACTGATCAGATATAATGTTTGAAAAGTTTCATCCTGTTGCATCAGCTGTTGACTTGATGCTCAGTTAAACCACCAGGGACACTGTATTGTTCCACATGTAGTTTATATATTTATTTGGTATAAGATGAATTACTGTATGGAGTCTGATGTGAATCAAACTTTATATACATCATTTAAACAATATTTCTGCTTATGATTCCAAATTTGACCATTTTATTTTAATTAGCCACTGAATTATGTAGAATTCAAACCATGCAAGACTCAACGGATTCAACTGAAACCTTGAATAATACTACACTATTAGCAGTAGCAGTGCTAATAATGATAAAATACTTATGCTGGCTGCTGATACTTTCAAGAGAAAGAGCTCCCTATAGATATAATGAGACAATCAAGTAAGAAATATCTAACACTAATATGGCTTATATGTCTTTATTATTTGTGTTTGTGTGTGGGTTTCCATATAAAGAGTGTTCTTGGAGCCAATGCGAACCCTGTCCCAGAGTACAAGGTGGCAGACGTCCAGAAGTCCCGTTTCATCCTCCTTCACTACGGTGCGTTTAAGGCCGGTTGGGACTGGCTGATCTTGCTGGCCACCTTTTACGTAGCCGTCACTGTCCCCTACAACGTCTGCTTCAATGCGGTGGAGATACGAGAGGACGGCGGCTCAGCAGCACGTAACCCTCCATGCGTCAGCGACATCTTGGTGGAGATACTGTTTATCATCGGTAAGGCTGCTTTCTTTCATGGGTTTTTTGCTTTGGTCTCTTTATTGTTAAGATTTTTTTAAAGAGGGGTCTCAAATGTATACTTTCATTTTTTAAAAAGGCTTAATAATTTCTTAAAACAGCCAGGGACTTCAGTTTTTGGCAGATGTTGCTCAGACAGAAGTAAATTGTGCTTTTGTTGGGGACTATTTTCAGCTTCAGACTTATGGTAATGAAAGAACATGTTCCCCAGTGCAACAGTGTGGCTCACTGACATTTTTGGATAACAATGGAGGATATATATATATATATGTATATATATATGGAAAAACACCAGACTTATTCTTTAAGTCTTGGCTCCTATCCATTAATATATTTTTCCACTTTTTTCTAATATCAGTTCAAGGGGCAACTCAATCTGGTGTACATAATCTAATCAAGTACGTCTGAAACCACCACTCCTTCTCTCTTAATTGGCCCATTTCAGTGCACCACAGTCTGCATCGCCTCCAACTCCTCCTGACACACAAGAGCTGGATGCTAATTGAACCTCCTGAACAATCTGCACTTGCTCTTTGCTGTATCTCAACCTGCCGTCCACTGATCCCACTCGAGGAAGGCTTGTTAAAGGAAATATTTTCTTACTGTCAGTGCTGGCCATCTCTAGGCTAGCCCTCACTGTTACAGAGACCTTCAGTGGTCTGCTGAAAATAGCTTTACAACAAACCTCTGTTAACAGCTGCATTGGTACCTTTTACATACAAACAAACGTGATGAATTTATGAAACATGATGCAATGTATTCTAGCCAATGTGACTGGTAGGACATCAGTCAGCAATGCAGATCCTTTGGTTTATACCTCAGATACCTTTGAATGCAGGACATTTAAAGGAGAACTATTCCATTATGGTGTTAAAACTTGTATTTTAAAGGTGCTATATACGACATTCAGAACCACCAGATGTAGCACCAGAGCACCAGCATCTCAGACTAAAACCAATGGATGCATCAGCTACAACATGCTTTTTGGGAAGAAAGTTGCGGAGTTAGATGAAAAGATCAATACCACTTTTATGTTGAAATGGTAAATCTGAAGCCACATCATGTTAGCTTAGTTTACCATAAAAACTGGAAGCAGGGGGAAACAGCTAGCCTTGTTCAGTCATTTCAAATTGCTCTCACTGTTATAGCACCACTTGGCAGTAACTAGTAATGAAACTAATTCAATTAAATAACACAATTACTGAAATTAAAATAGGCTTACCTGAAAATAGGGTAATGCAAAAGCTGCGCATCCGAGCGTGCCCCCTTGATTTTCCGGTTTAGGATCCAACATCACCTAAGGTGGTGCAATTCAGGCGATGTGAGCTTGCTTTCTGTTCATCAAATGTGATTATCTTTTAACTAACTATTGTAGCAAAGATTGGTTAATGTTTAAATCCTTGTGGGTCTACTTTTACTAAATCTGCTAACCAAGACAATGAGTGTAACTTATAGGTAGGAATGCTAGTTGTTGCTGACATCTGGTGGTCAGGAGTATTAATAACTAGATACATTTGTCTTCTCTTAAAGCAACACAAAAAAATAAGAAAAAGAAGTTACTTTCCCTACTTTATAGGCAGTAAATGGTAAAGTAAGAGAAGGCTAACTGTTTTAAGTCTTTGCGCTAAGCTAAGCTAAATGGCTGCTGGCTTAGCCATATATGTACTGAACAAATGTGAGAGTAGTATCAGTCCAGTTTGTAACATTTAGGAGGATATGTTTTCAGTAGTGTATAATCACCTGATAAAGAGAATTATTATGTTTTTGTTACCTTAGAATGAGCAGTTTTTATCCACAGAGGGAGCAGGTCCTCTTTTACAGTCCACCATGTTGAACCACCATGTTTCTGTAGCCCAAAAGGGACAAACCAAACACTTGTTGTAGATAGAGCCTTTCACACTGATCACAAGTTTTGCAGCCACCGTAGTTTTTTTCAACGCACTTGGAAGGCTGAGCTGTATTTGAATGGTTCTAATAAATTTTACTGCGAGATGCCTCTAATTCCTACACACTGGTCCTTTAGGTTGAAAATAAAAGTGTTTTTCCAATACTGCCAGACTGACAATGATGCATGTTGATGACAGGTCTAAGTGGTGTCTAGATTTCAGATTTGAAAGCACAGTTTAACAGCGTCCAAGTCTCCACTGATGGTGGAGTGTTTCCAAGCAGCACTGGCATGTTAAGTTGTGTGTTGTGTGCCAGATATCGTGCTGAACTTCCGAACCACCTACGTGAGCACGTCTGGTCAGGTGGTGTACGACCCCCGCTCCATCTGTATCCACTACGTCACATCCTGGCTGTTTGTGGATCTGATCGCCGCCTTGCCCTTTGACCTGCTCTACGCCTTCAATATCAGTGTGGTGGGTATTACAGACACACACACACACACACACTAACACTGTCCACACCTACAGTACACAGCCATATACACATTGTTATGTGTGCACATTTGTGTATATATGAGTGTTGGGAAAGTGCATATAAATCATATGGTGCGTTTGACTGTGCTGGCACTTTTGTGTGTCTTTAGGTGGGATTTATGTGTGTTTATGTGTATGTGTGATGTATAGGCAGAGGCTCTATGGGCCCTGCCAGTGGTAATAGATGTCATTCTTTAATCAATAGCACTCTCCTGCTGGTCAACTCTTGCTCACCATGAATTTAATAAGACGATGAAAGACCCTGCAAATGTACAGGGAACACCGAGGCACAGCACACGCACATTTACACACAAAATGTTTTTAACCTAAAAAGATGTGGCAAAGGAAACAGAGAGCTAACATCACATTCTTTTTAACTGAAAAAGAAAAAAACAACTTAAAACTTTTTGTTCTATATTTTCTTTAAACTCTCAGTATTTGCAATAGTGGCTTCGAGTGAAGGAAAAGAGAGTCTGAGCTTCAACAAGAAACTCATTATTAGGTAACTGGTAATTAAGATGATAAATGAGCGCGCTGACGACAAATTATAGGTGGAGGCAAGTGGATGAAGAGAATGATTAAATTGGAATAAGAACAAGGAAAATGTTGAATAATTTTGTGACTACTACTTTTTTTCTTATGAAATACCAAATACATTTATGTGTAAAATTCCTTCAACCAAGAGAGGAACAATTTGCTTTCGGTTGAGCTGCTCACAACTCATATCCACAGTATGGGGTCTCAAGTACATATTGCTTTATTTTCAGGGATTGCAGACCAAAAAGGTTGCTGCTGTAGAGGAATACACATGTGCCTTTGTGTTAGAGCTCCACAAATTCAGTTCTGATTACTTTCTGATTAGTCACCTTCAGGCTAGGGATTGTTCCACAAGCTTTTGCGACTCAATATTGTTATAACAATAAAGGTTTCTTGTTATACATTGATAAGTTTGTAATAACATGTTGTGAACATAAAAGCATATTGTTATAACATTATTATAAACCTTTTATGTCCTAACAATAAGTCATCACATAATATTAAATGTTTCACACTATAACAGCCCTATATATGCCCTATAGCTCACCTGGTAGAACTGGCATCCCATGTACCAAGTCCTTGCTGCAGCGGACATTGGTTTGAATCCGACCTGTGGCCCTTTTCTGTGTGTCATATCCACCCACGCTTTCTCAAAAAACTAATTTTGTTGCTGTAATTTCTTTTATCTAAAAAATAGTAACGCCTGTCCATTTTCATTACTCTTCTCTCAACACACCTCTTCTGTTGAGCTAGTGATGTTTAACCAGCTCTTGTTGGAACTGTGGGGGATGTAATTTGTAAAAGGGTAATAACAACTACAACATAAAAAAACCAAAACAATCTTGGATATTCTTGAGTGAACCACCTGATATACTGGTGAGTATGGTACATTCCAAAGCTGGGCGTTTACTGTTTCACTGTTAGTGATTTTGGTCAGGTTTTCTTTCCAGGAAGAGAAAACAGAAGAGTTCTGGTCGCTTCAACTCTCTATATTGGCTCAAGATAATAACTGTATGATCTATATGTAAGTTCATTCAGTTCAGAAAGATTCTAGGAGGTAGTTGTAAGAAGAAAACATATTCCCCAGCCTACACATATTGTTATAGGAAGATAACGTAATGTTGTTTTATGTTTTATGTTGCCGTATGGGCTTCAGGTAGAGCTGGAGGTTAGTGGGTTTAACAAGAAACAGAACTCTTCCTTGCGGTAAATAACACGGTGTCATTCTGGACAGATTTTAATCAGGACTATTGAATGTGCTTGGGAAAGTGTATGCATTTGTGTCTGTGATTAGTACCGGGGTACGGCAGAGATGAAATACACCAGAATTAAATTCCCTGAAAGGATCCGTATGCAGGTATCTAGAGAATAAAATGTTATGTGGGGTGTAATTCATCAACAACTGTGTTAACATTTATTGGGCGCTGATAAGAGCAGGGAATTGCAACTGCAGTTAGGAGGTAATCGATAAAGGGGCGATGTTAGATGAGGCCATTTTTACCTCAGGACCACAAGAATTCTTTCATTGGAGGTCGATAATGGCAGCGATTTTCTCTGAATGGCTTCTCTGGTTAAAGCCACAACTGGAATTTAACTTAATTTGCTGACCTGGAGCTACAAGCTTCAGACAATCTCTGGAGCCACTTTAGACTGTTTGCCAGCACTGTGAATGAGACCGTGGGGCAGTAGCATAGCTTACTATCAAGATGACTGTTTAAAATTCTCAGTGTGCATGGGTAATTTCTAATTACAAACCTTCCTTTGGCTCCAGATGGGAAACTTTTAAGATTAAACGGTTAGTTCTAATTTATGTCACCAATAGTCTACTGTATCTATCCAGGAGTAACTAATCCCATCCTAATGAGCTACACTTTTTATATCTAGTCTCAGATGTGTTTATACCTTTTAATCCATGACTCTTCTCTCCCAGAACTTTGGGGTTCACCTGCTGAAGACGGTGCGTCTCCTCCGCCTCCTGCGCCTCCTACAGAAGCTGGATCGTTACTCCCAGTACAGCGCCGTGGTCCTCACCCTGCTTATGTCTACGTTCGCCCTGCTGGCCCACTGGATGGCCTGCGTCTGGTACTTCATTGGACGTAGCGAGATCGAAAGCAATAGCCCCGCCTCCTGGGATATAGGTATCTATCTGTGTGTTGCAACTTGATGGAAGGATTATAATGGTTTCATTAGATGGAAAGAGTAGAGGGGCAGTATTATTAAAGACTGGCATTTTTGCACAATGACCCATTGGTCAGAACCGCCCAACCCTACTCAGTGAATGAGGTAGGACAGAGCACTGCTTTTTTTGGTGTCATGTTTGCCTGTGAAAAACCATGTATCTATGTGCTTTTTCTTACAATACTCGTAAATCCAATTCAGCAAGAATTGCAGTGGGAGGAGCCAAAGGGGATCCAATGAAGGAGTACTTGACAAACTTCAAACCACATGACCTCCTAAGCTCCTTGAGAGCAGTATGGTTAAGATAAATCAGTTCAAATATGTTTAAGATTAGCTATCTTACACTTTGGCTGAGGTTGGGTAAAGATAGTGGTAACTGTCAATACAGGAGGGCCCTGTATACTTTGTACCAGTGGTTCTCATCTGGTCTCACTTTGGGACCGGCATTTTTCAATGCTCATTAGGTCTCGACCTACTTTTATAGAATTCAAAAAACGCTAATGTATTTTTCAAATATTAAACACATATACAATTGTTACAATATTTTTTAACCTAAAATATACACATATTTTTATCCCTGCAATCAGAGCACATTACTCTCATTATTAATATGAATGAAATGAACATCATAACAGCATAACTGTTTACACACAAATTAAGTAGGGCCTACAAAACGGGCTGTTTTCACTTTGACATTTTGTTATTTTATTCACACTCCATTCAGAAAGATTCTGCGACCCACTTTTGGGTTGGTTGCAACCCACCAGTCAAGAAAGCATGCTTTATACTATACTAATTGTTACAGTCACATGATTCCATTAAGCGTAATCCCACAAGCACTAATTAGCTGAAATTCTTGCAATTTTGATACAAAGCAAAATTATGTAACTCAACACAATTTCCAGGTTAACTATTCTGCAGTGATACAATAGACCACATTGGCTGTTCAGGCAGAGTCTACAGCTGCCCTCGCTGATCTGTGAGGCTATACTTAGAAACAGCTGTGCTTTGCGCCACATGCTAAAAGCAGCATGCTAACATACTCACAGTGAAAATGCTAACATGCTGCTTTAGCTGGTGTATATTTACCATGTTCACCATCTTAGTTCAGCCTATTACCATGCAAACATTTGCTAATTAGCACTTAACACAAAGTACATCTGTTGATGGCACTAGTTGCAAAGTCAGGAGGTCCCCAAAGTCATTAGAATTAATCCTGTTGGGACCTTGAACATCTGTTGCAAATTTCACTAGATGAACAGTCATCCTTTTGGCACCATGGATGCCAAATAATGGCAGTCCACCCATTAGTTTTTGACTGACTGACCATTAGCCCGACTAATAAACTGACATTGCCATCCATGCAGCCATGCCGCAAGCATGAAGCTTGATTATGATGATGATGAGCAGCGCTTACACAAACCAAACATTTATTTACAGAAGATTCAAGGACAGAGTCCCAGTCCTAGCCAACAGTGTTTGACATGTGACCTATTGGAGTTGCCCTTCATAATACTACAACAGTCAGTTCTTCTCATCTGTATTATTTTCGCAGATCCAGAGCAGAGTATGAATACATGTTTGTATACACTCACTGTGTCCTTTTCCTGAGAAAACACTTCTAATTATGGTGCTCTTCCTCCCCTCCTACTGTGCCCACCGGTGCCAAACAACAATACTGTGAGGTGCATGTGGTGACGGTGGTTATCCTGTTCAAGTGATTTAATTCAGCAACATGGAATGAGACAACTAGGGATAAGGGGTAAGAATAGTGGGAAAACATACAGAAAGACCTCCGTGGAGCCAGATGTACATGGGCTGCCTAAGCTATGGCTCAGGTGGACGAGCCGATCGCCCATCAATCGTTGGGTTGGTAATTGAGCAAAACACTGGATGCTAAATTGCTTCCGATGAGCGGGGCAACGCTCTATCATTCTTGGTTAATGAGTGTGTGCGCCTGTGTCAATGAGAGGCTTTTGAAAGCGCTTTGTCCTGCTCAGCGTGAAAAGCCCTATATAAATGTCATCCATTTACCATTACACAATACAGGTCAACTTCAGTGCCTTTATTCCTCAGGTAGAAATTGAAAATGACAGCATAACAATAGAGACGCTAGAGGTTGCAATGTCCATCTCAGTCCACAAATTAAAATGTTGTTCTGAAGGTGGTGCTTATGAAAAACTGCAAAAGTGTCCAAAATCAAGAGGGTTCATTGCCTAGGGAGCATGAATGTGCTCAGTAAATCTCAGGTCCATTCTTAGATTTGGACCGAAGTGGTTTTGACCCAATGGTGGCGCTAGATGGAGGGTCAGGGACTCACAAAAGTCATTAGAAATCATCCTCTGTATCCTCTAGATAGCATGAATATCAAATATCCAAAATTCATCTGGTGGGTAGTTATTCATATTTGTCGCTCTGGACCAAAATTAACAGCTGGACAGACTGCTATTGTATTTAAGCATTTATTTTTTTTTTTTAAGCACTGCATTTCTTTCCACCCTCTTCCCACATAAAAACGAGGGAGTAAAGAATCTTTTACATTTAAACCACAAAGTGACTGCATTTGGAGGAAATGGAGGCAGGTTTATGGTAATGATAAATGGACCTGTTCTTATATAGCGCCTTTCTAGTCTTCCGACCACTCAAACTGCTTTTACACTACATTCATACAGCGATGGCAAAGTCTATCAAACAGAAACTAATTCATTCATTCGCATTCACACACTGATGACACAGAATCGGAAGCAATTTGGGGTTCAAGGATACTTCGACATGCAGCGGGAGGAGCTGGGGATTTAACCAACAACCTTCCGATTAGGGGACGACCCGCTCTGCCTCTGAGCAACAGCCATAACAGTTTTCTGTTACATGTTACTGTACACTGAAAAGTGATGTGTTACGAATTAGTCAGCTGTATTGGTAGTTTTGAGGCCTGTATGCCTACTTTTTCCACAGACATGAAAAAACACTATCCTCCCCACAGTTTTGAGTGTGTTCAGCTCTAGGTTGTTATGACCAGCCATTAAACTTCCCATCTGGGGCTAGGGGCCTGTGATCTTCAGGTGGGCCAACACAAGAGTCTGAAAGTATTTCATGCCCACAAATGTCAGGGTGACAGGCCTGTAGTCACTGAGTTTAGAGGGTTTTTTGGGGACCAGAATGATTGTTGAGTGTTTGAGGTAGGAGTGGACTTTACATTGATATGTGTGAAGATCTGATCAGCACAGGCCTCCCGGTGCCTCCCTGATCTTCTTTCTTTGGAAGAATTAACACCCACCCTTTTACAGAGTGAAGGGTGCAGGTGGGGGTTCAGTGGGCAGGGTTGAGGAGTGTAAATGTTGGCTTATCAAACCTACAGTAGGACACAATCCGGTCATCAGCCAGCTGATGGATCTCCACAGTGTGGGGGGATGGTTTCCTGTAGCTGGAGACGCCCTGCAGGCCTCTTTACACTGGCGTGTGTAGTTTAATGTCTGGTAATGCAGGATTCTATCATAATTTCTGTCGGCCTGCACACAAACTTCGTTTAATCAGATTCCTTCTCACCTCGTCTTCCCTGATAGGTCCATTGCGCAGTCCACCTGGTAGAGTTGAACATCCTGCAGATGTAGTGTATAATCCGAATGGGCCCACCAAGCCAGGTTTCAGTGGAGCATGCGTGTTTGCTCTGTTAAGAAACAGCAGTTCGTCCATTTTGTTGGACATTCAGCAGATTTACTGACGGGAGCGCAATTTGAAATCCTTGCTGTGGCAGTTTAACCAGCAGGAGTGCGATCTTCTCCTACAAGTCCGATAGAGAACTGCTGCTCCTCCAACTACAATACAACGACTTTGCTATTGTGTTTAAGACTGCTGAATATTCTGCTTTCTGTATATGGCCTGCCATACGTAGTGCCATTTTGTGTCTCCATGTTGGACAAATTCACAGATGAGGGTAATTTAGTAGTAGATTTAGTAAGAATAGTAAGCCAAACTTGAGTTCTGATTATACTGGCCATTTCTGGCTTGAATCCAAACATAGATAGTCCTACAGTTTTCCTTTCCTTTTAAATGAATCAACAAGCTTTTGAAAAGGGAACACCATGGATCCACTCGTTCCCCTGGCAGAGATGCTCCTATCCTGCCTGGTGTGCTGTTTAGCTGCTTGTCACTGGAAAGAACCATCTGTGCTCCCTCCTCTTCATTCCCCTCTTGTTTGTCAACTCAAATTCCCTGTCTCTGCCTTCCCATGTTTTTAATTCCCTCTGTATTTTTTGCTTGACCTGTCTCCCGCTCAATCAGACTTCTTCATTTGGCAATCCATTCTTCCTTCATTCTTTCATCTCCTAGTCCATTCTCGTCTCTCCATCTCTCTGTGGCAGTGTATGTGTGCCTCTGATTAAGTTTGGATTAGATAGGCCAGAGAATAGCCAGCTTAAATTTGAAGCTTGAGGAAAGGGTGGTGGGAGAATAATGATGAGACTAGAGAGTGGGGGACTATAGTGGGAGGAAAAGAGGATAAAGAAGGGAAATGGGGGAGCCATCTTATTTCAATGCACATTTAAAGTTATAGTGAGCAGGAGGATGTCTGCTAAAATCCATTCTTCCAGATTCACACCACAGAGCCTTCCTTTGTACAGAAAAAAATTAAGGCTAATTCTGAGGTATTGAAAGCTTGAACCCACTGGATCTGAGAGTAACAGCAACTGACCAAGATAAGTAGTACTAGTTGGCAGGAATGGGGTCTGCATTGCACTCCCAAAAATGACACACCGCTCCTCTATGTAAAAATTTAAAACAAATATACAGTATAATAATGATCATTTCTAGTCCACTAGCACGTTTTAGTTCTCTTTATTAGGGACCGAGCCAGCAACCGCTAGAGGTCCCTATTGTATTTGCTTCGTTTCTTTTTCTTACCTATTATTATTATTTTTAGCGCCTTTGATTGCGTTTTTGCCCCCCTGAACGTATACGAAAACTCAATTTTATTTGGCAAAGTTGTCAGGCCTGGTGAAAAATTTGATATTCTATGCGTCGCTTTCGGGTTGGCCACTAGGTGGCGCTACTATCATAAAAAGTGCGTTTAGGCTAATAACTTCTGCATAGGTTTTTCGCACATTCAAAAACCTTATTATCACGTTGTTAGCCACGGGCCCCACTTCCGCCTAGATTTTTTTTTTCGTTAGAGCGCGAAATGTCATTTTTCGTGTTCCTCCTACACGCTTTGTCCGATTTGCACGAAATTTTTCACGTAGCACCTGGGGACCGTCCTGGCAAAAAAAGTATTTGAAGAATTTTGATATTTCAAAAAATAAAAAAGTTATAAAATTAGCACTTCCTGTAAATTTTTCGTCAAAAAAGGAAGTGGACCATTTCTCCACATTGGTATGTCCAATTGACACCAAGTTTGGGTCCATAGTTCCCCATGTCTTCCTTAGGCATCGTGCACAATTTCAGGCCATCACCACAAGGTGGCGCTCTTTAAAATGAAGAAGTTTATAT